TGGACATTCATACAGACAGGTGACTGTGGGGCAAGTAGGTGGACATTCATACAGACAGGTGAACTGTGGGGCAAGTAGGTGGACATTTATACAGACATGCGAACTGTGGGGCAAGTAGGTGGACATTCATACAGACAGGTGACTGTGGGGCAAGTTGGTGGACATTCATACAGACAGGCGAACTGTGGGGCAAGTAGGTGGACATTCATACTGACAGGTGAACTCTTGGGGCAAGTTGGTGGACATTCATACAGACAGGTGAACTGTTGGTCAGGTAAGTGGACAGTCATACAGACAGATGAACTGTGGGGCAAGTTGGTGGACATTCATACAGACAGGTAAACTGTGGGGCAAGTTGGTGGACATTCATACAGACAGGTGAACTGTGGGGCAATTGGTGGACATTCATACAGTCAGTTGACTGTGGGGCAAATAGGTGGACATTGATACAGACAGCTGATCTGTGGGGCAAGTTGGTGGACATTCATACAGTCAGTTGACTGTGGGGCAAATAGGTGGACATTCATACTGACAGGTGAACTGTGGGGCAAGTTGGTGGACATTCATACAGACAGGTGAACTGTTGGTCAGGTAAGTGGACAGTCATACAGACAGATGAACTGTGGGGCAAGTTGGTGGACATTCATACAGACAGGTAAACTGTGGGGCAAGTTGGTGGACATTCATACAGACAGGTGAACTGTGGGGCAAGTTGGTGGACATTCATACAGACAGGTGAACTGTGGGTCAGGTAGGTGGACATTCATACAGACATGTGACTGTGGGGCAAGTTGGTGGACATTCATACAGACAGGTGAACTGTGGGGCAAGTAGGTGGACATTCATACTGACAGGTGAACTGTGGGGCAAGTTGGTGGATATTCATACTGACAGGTGAACTGTAGGACAGGTAGGTGGACATTCATACAGACAGGTGAACTGTGGGTCAGGTAGGTGGTCATTCATATAAACAGGTGAACTGTGGGTTAGGTAAGTGGACATTCATACAGACAGGTGAACTGTGGGGCAGGTAAGTGGACATTCATACACAGAGGTGAACTGTGGGGCAGGTAGGTGGACATTCATACAGACAGGTGAACTGTGGGGCAAGTTGGTGGACATTCATACAGACAGGTGAACTGTTGGTCAGGTAAGTGGACAGTCATACAGACAGATGAACTGTGGGGCAAGTTGGTGGACATTCATACAGACAGGTAAACTGTGGGGCAAGTTGGTGGACATTCATACAGACAGGTGAACTGTGGGGCAATTGGTGGACATTCATACAGACAGGTGAACTGTGGGTCAGGTAAGTGGACATTCATACAGACAGGTGACTGTGGGGCAAGTTGGTGGACATTCGTACAGACAGGTGAGTGTGGGGCAAGTTGGTGGACATTCATACAGACAGGTGAACTGTGGGGCAATTGGGTGGACATTCATACAGACAGGTGAACTGTGGGTCAGGTAGGTGGACATTCATACAGACAGGTGAACTGTGGGGCAAGTTGGTGGATATTCATACAGACAGGTGAACTGTGGGTCAGGTAGGTGGACATTCATACAGACAGGTGACTGTGGGGCAAGTTGGTGGACATTCATACAGACAGGAGACTGGGGCAATTGGGTGGACATTCATACCGACAGGTGAACTGTGGGGCAAGTTGGTGGACATTCATACAGACAGGTGAACTGTGGGTCAGGTAGGTGGACATTCATACAGACAGGTGACTGTGGGGCAAGTTGGTGGACATTCATACAGTCAGTTGACTGTGGGGCAAATAGGTGGACATTGATACAGACAGCTGATCTGTGGGGCAAGTTGGTGGACATTCATACAGTCAGTTGTCTGTGGGGCAAATAGGTGGACATTCATACTGACAGGTGAACTGTGGGGCAAGTTGGTGGACATTCATACAGACAGGTGAACTGTTGGTCAGGTAAGTGGACAGTCATACAGACAGATGAACTGTGGGGCAAGTTGGTGGACATTCATACAGACAGGTAAACTGTGGGGCAAGTTGGTGGACATTCATACAGACAGGTGAACTGTGGGGCAATTGGTGGACATTCATACAGACAGGTGAACTGTGGGTCAGGTAAGTGGACATTCATACAGACAGGTGACTGTGGGGCAAGTTGGTGGACATTCGTACAGACAGGTGAGTGTGGGGCAAGTTGGTGGACATTCATACAGACAGGTGAACTGTGGGGCAATTGGGTGGACATTCATACAGACAGGTGAACTGTGGGTCAGGTAGGTGGACATTCATACAGACAGGTGAACTGTGGGGCAAGTTGGTGGATATTCATACAGACAGGTGAACTGTGGGTCAGGTAGGTGGACATTCATACAGACAGGTGACTGTGGGGCAAGTTGGTGGACATTCATACAGACAGGTGACTGGGGCAATTGGGTGGACATTCATACCGACAGGTGAACTGTGGGGCAAGTTGGTGGACATTCATACAGACAGGTGAACTGTGGGTCAGGTAGGTGGACATTCATACAGACAGGTGACTGTGGGGCAAGTTGGTGGACATTCATACAGTCAGTTGACTGTGGGGCAAATAGGTGGACATTGATACAGACAGCTGATCTGTGGGTCAGGTAGGTGGACATTAATACAGCGAGGTGACTGTGGGGCAAGTTGGTGGACATTCATACAGACAGGTGAACTGTGGGTCAGGTAAGTGGACATTAATACAGAGAGGTGACTGTGGGGCAAGTTGGTGGACATTCATACAGACAGGCGAACTGAGGATCAGGTAAGTGGACATTCATACAGAGAGGTGACTGTGGGGCAAGTTGGTGGACATTCATACAGACAGGTGAACTGTGGGTCAGGTAGGTGGACATTCATACAGACAGGTGAACTGTGGGTCAGGTAAGTCGACATTCACACAGACAGGCGAACTGTGGGTCAGGTAATTGGACATTAATACAGAGAGGTGAACTGTGGGGCAAGTAGGTGGACATTCATACAGACATGCGAACTGTGGGACAGGTAGGTGGACATTTATACAGACATGCGAACTGTGGGACAGGTAAGTGGACATTCATACAGACAGGCGAACTATGGGACAGATAGTTGGACATTCATACAGACAGGCGAACTGTGGGGCAGGTAGGTGGACATTCATACAGACAGGTGAACTGTGGGTCAGGTAAGTCGACATTCACACAGACAGGCGAACTGTGGGTCAGGTAAGTGGACATTAATACAGAGAGGTGAACTGTGGGGCAAGTAGGTGGACATTCATACAGACATGCGAACTGTGGGACAGGTAGGTGGACATTTATACAGACATGCGAACTGTGGGACAGGTAAGTGGACATTCATACAGACAGGCGAACTGTGGGGCAGATAGTTGGACATTCATACAGACAGGCGAACTGTGGGGCAGGTAGGTGGACATTCATACAGAGAAGGAGGAGAAAAGTTCTGTGATCATCAACTTCATCTGTCTGCCATTGTCCTGCTGTTGGAGTGAGTGAGTGAGAATGGTTTCACACATTGTTCCCATGGCGGGAAACGAACCCGGGTCCTCGGCGTGACGAGCGAACGCATTAACCACAAGACTTCCCCTCCGCCATCTGCTTTTAGAGAGCTATCAGACATGTATATGAAAAGACAAGGAAATTACTTTAGGAATCCTTTCGTTGTGATTCAAGGTTAGAACTTGTCCCCGCCAATCCATGCTTGTCGTAAGAGGCGATAAGTCGATCGGGTGGTCTGGTTCGATGACTTGGTGGATTGTGTGTCTTGGTACCAGACGGCGATGGGCGTTTTTCATTATCACAACCACCAGTTGATCTGGTCCTATTTGATGCTTACTGTTACGTCAACTAGCGTCCTCTCGTTCACTGCAAACATGTCCACGTTTAAAAGGCTCACATTAAACCCATGCATACCGAAAAAGGCGACTATGCTTGTCGTAAGAGGCGACTAACGGGATCGGGTGATCAGGCTCGCTGACTTGGTTGATGAATGTCATCGATCCCAATTGCGTGGATCGATGTTCATGATATCGATCACTGGATTGTCTGGTCCAGACTTTATTATTTACAGACCGCCGTCATATAGCTGGAATATTGTTGAGTGCGGCGTTAAACAACAAACCTATCATATACACCCATGTTAGATGGTGGCTAAACATGAAACTAACAAGAAATGGTTATTCGATGGGGATATATTTATACCCCTATCATAGTTGTGTTTTGGACCTGAAGCTTACAGCGGTTCGGTGACTGCAGCCTTATAACGTTTTCATAACGTTTTTAAGGTTGTTGGTCAAATCCAATTTTCAAGTGTATGCTTTCTTTACCGGCATTATGTAACTGTCCATGATGACACCAACTCCTACGCTGCATTCAGAAGTTATTATGCTTTCAGTAGTAAACTTCAAACAACAACATTCTTCATTCAAACATGTTCACCACATGCAAATTTACTCTTCAAGAATCACACATGTGCTTTGCATCATAGAATCACGGATATTTTGTTGCAGTTTGATAACTCTCTCCCAAACTCCCAAACTCCCAAACTCCCAAACCAACATACAATCACTCGCTCCCATGGACCTAGAAATACCTTTCAATACCTTCCATCAATTGGAATTAGTAATGATAATTTTCAATAGCAAGACATTTCATTTAGAAGTGGTTGACAGTAATGGTGTACTGTCTGGAAAGTGGTTGACAGTAATTCATAATATTGTGGAAAAATAACTTCTTATTTTTTAAAAGGTCATTTCTACTGGTTTTCCTCGGAAAGGAAATGATAAAGGGAATTCAAAACCACCTTTTGGCGGGACATAAAACACCAAATGCAATGAGTATCTGCGAATTAAATCCGACAAGACGATCTGATCGGCATTAAGAGCACTGGGCTTATTTAGCCATGCGATCTGAAGTTGATACGACTTTACGAGCAATACTGCTCCCTGCATCCCTACTCACAAACAGGTGTGCCCTCAAAAAATACCCTTGCATCAGAACCTGTTTCACGTCAGCCCAGAGAACCAGGTCACGCCATTGTGTCACCAGAAAGTAGCACATACCCCATTGCGCATAACAACAGCGAGTATCTGTTGAATACAAGAGAGGACATAACAAGTTGTTTTCTGTTTGGCTTTGACTGCGCCTCCATTGCTCAACCTACCCGGTCCTGTTCGTAGACCCAGGCAGGAGACGATCAGCGCAACATTGTTTCTGACTCGTAACAATCACGGTAAGTCGTTTAAACAGATAGCAGACAATCAGAACACGCTAGATTGTGGGGATATAGACGCACAACGAAAAATGTTATTTGTGATGACATAAAGAAAGTTCATTATTTCCACTTATTTTGTGTCCGGTAGGTTATTAGTCCAAAGCTGGAATTGTATTTGAATGATGGAAAGGGTATCCTATGATATAAGATACACTTTGTAGTCTGCATACCTTTCCAAGGGTGGCAACTTATTGCGACTTAGATCTGCTGGCTGTTATCCCGAATATTCATCGAACCTTTACACAAAGGTTATTCAGATCAGTTTGTTTACCATATTAATAGTGGTAGAAGAGCATTGTGATTTAGATCTATTGCGGTGACACATCTGTATTTGCAGATGATTCATACGAATGTTATTGAATAGGATCTTTAATGCATGTATCATTGGATTCGGGCCAAGCTTATGAACACACTACCAATTCATGTTTACGAAACAAACACAAACAGGAATGCCTTTCATACCCAGTATTAGTAAGGATGAAAAAAGGATCCTTTTATGTTTGTGAGCGTGAAATTGGAAAAAGATCTGGTGCAACGTTAGTCTGAGTAGGCAGACACTTGTCTGGTTTGTTTGCATCTCATTTAAGAACTTCTAATGTACGCAAACAAAGGTACAAATTGTGGATACTCGGTTACTCTTGCCTCTTTTCGCTATTTAAATTCGGGCAGCAAAGAGGACGTGATGAATTCGCATCCTTGATTCCCTGATTCTCATCTCTCTGGGGAGTAAACAACCCAAGCTGACTGTGAGGTGCTTGAAGGCTTACCGCCACATTACCATCTCATCTTACCAGGTACCCATTCACTGCTGCGTGAACAGAAGAACATTTTGAACAAATACAGTTCACGAGTGCCGCGGAGTTGTGTTGTGTCTTGTGATGAATGCAACAAGACCATTTAATAAATTATAATATATAACGTGCATCTTTATAATGCGCCACATCAACGACCTGATGCATGCTCAAAGCACTACATTATTAACCGGTCAGTGGATCGGTGTAAATTCGTTTTCATTCTCATCTCTCTGGGGAGTATACAACCCAAGCTGACTGTGAGATGCTTGAAGGCTTACCGCCACAATACCATCTCATCTTACCGGGTACCCATTCACTGCTGCGTGAACAGAAGCACATTTGGAACAAAGTCGCTTGCCTAAGCAGACACAGTATTAAAGTGTGGAGCAGGATCGAAGCCCAATAACACTCTCAGGAGCTAAGCTCCCGAACGCGATAGGTACCATCCACGTAACATTTGGGAATAGGACATTTAGGCAAGAAGTAGGCAGCCCTATTGGCACCTCCTGGCGTCCCTACCGGCTGATATGTTTCTTAATGTATATACGAGTCTCATTTTCTGCTCTCGTTGGAAAAATCAAAACAAGGGAATTTGGTCAAGAAGTTTAACTTAAGCTTCAGGTATTTCGATGATCTCATATCATTCCATAATGCTCAAATAGCGAATTCCCTTCCACTGATATACCCACCTGAACTAAAAAGCGATATCTCCTTTGGAAGCCGGTTTGGGATGATGAATGACCTTGCTTCTATGATAATGTGTTACATAATCCTCAAACCCATCTTTTTCTTCCTGAAGCCATCATTCATCACTCAGCATGGTGATTGCCACCCTAATCTGCTGCTGTCTTCGAGCTATGAGAGAGGAAGAGCGGGAGGGGGAGAGGGAGAGGAGAGGACGTACTGTTATCGTGGTGCGAGATCAGCATATTGTAGGTGGCATCAGCATTTATAATATAAACCATGTTTGTTATGATCACTGTAAGGTCTTTGTTAAAAATCGTGTGAAAACAACTAACAACCAACAAGTGGTATACAATCAAGAAATGTATTACCTAAATTAACTGAGTTTAAAAATCAATACAAATTACTGCATAGCAATTACAATGGCAATACACAATAGAGGGGTAGTACAATATTCAATGGCAGTATATAATATGATGACAGTGGTCAGTATCAAATAAAAAAATACACACACATATTTCTTCTTTACTGTGTGGCAGGAGTATTTTCTTTCGTTCACTACACTGTTACAACGTAATAGAAATATATACCTTATCCGTTGCTATGTTACACCGGATTAAAATATATATGATTGTCCATTTCGATGTTGCTCATGGATGAAATATATCGTTGTCAATTGCTATGTTGCACATGATTGAAATGTATCATTGTCCATTACTTTGTTGCAAGGGGAACAAAACGGTCTTTTTATTCATAAACAAACATAACAGTTCGTGACTGCATATTTGAGTTGTCATTTGAACGTACCTCTCCTTGTTACAGGATCGTGCAGGGTTGGTACAGCACGAGGTGATGCCTGACAGATCCCATCCTGGGCGAGTTGTGGTCGTTAACAGGGGTGTACGGACTGCTGGTCCATACGCAGGTAACCAGATCCCTTCACGAACCATACCAGCACCTTACGCTGCAAACCAGATCCGACCACCAGCCGATGCCCGAAACAACCAAGCACCTTACACTGCTAGCCAGATCCGACCACCAGCCGATGCCCGAAACAACCAAGCACCTTACACTGCTAGCCAGATCCGACCACCTGCCGATGCCCGAAACAACCCAGCACCTAAAAAGGCTTGCCAGATCCGACTACCTACCGATGTACCACCCCCTTATACGGCATACCCATTGCGTAAACCACAGAACTAAACGATGAGACCCTGAGGAAGTACAGTAAGCTCGTGTTTAGAAACTCTTTTTATGGACGGACCTCGTACGGACATTTCAATGGCAGAGCATGGTTTTTTAATCTTGCATGAGACATTCATTTCCTTTTGGAAAATTAGGGGTCAAGTCAAAATGTCACTGAAGCCAAAACTCTCGTTCTTCATTTCTTCAGTTATCAGACTTTGCCTTGGACCATCATTGTTATTGCCTGTTGAACATTCAAATTGATCGGCATTGAGAGAAATTAATTAGATTCAAACCAGTATATCAAACTTTGTAAAACAAATCGTATATCAAGTTGTGTATTGTATATTATACCTATATAGCGTGAGCATCCAAATGTGCACGATGTCTTGAATGTTGTGTGTCATGTTCCTATGACAGCAGGCATGTCGGTTGAGGTGTCAATCAACCATCCTTAATTACAAATGATGGACACCGTCACAAAGGACGGACAGATGAAGTTGTATCTTTTAATTATATGATAGATTTTTTGTGGGGCGTCAGTGCGCCAACTGTGCTAGGCGATAATGTTTTACTTTTAATGATTTAACTTCTAACTTTATATTTCTTTATGCTTATTAGTCATAGAAATCTGCCTGCACATTCTGTGAACGTATACATGTAAAGGTGGCTGTATGATAACGTTACGAGATGATGACACAAACTTATGCTCTAAGGGATCAACCATTTGATTTTCTAAATGATACTGAAGCCCATGTTTTACTGGAAACAAGTTACACATGCCTCGCATTGTAGAAAACATATTGTGCCATTTTCGTGCAGACTAAATTAAAGGTGTTCAAAGAATACGGTTCCGTTATTTTTATCTATCTAAATATATTTATGTCTCCTAAACATAAAAAATACTTACATGCTGATCTCAAACCAAAATCAACCCTCCGAAGATCAAATGGTAGCTCCCAAAATACATCTCTTCGTCGCTTCTTGTTTGTGATATTGTACATATTTTGTTATTGCAATGTAATTGAGCGGTTTGTAACAATAGTCCATATCATTCCGTTTCTTATTGTTGACTCTTTGTACGTGGTTATTTTTCACATGGAGAAAATAAACAGTTTGTTCAATTTGTACTACTTTAGCATGCTTGTACTCTGCTAAAAGAGCTCTCTGTTTTAGTAGGCAGCTGAAAGTGCTCGAATCCTTTCGAAACATAATACCAAGATAATTTTACCTGCCTTACAGATTCTCAATACACTAGCCAGTTGGAAAGGCATAAAGTGGCGGCTGCCTCGGTTGCCTATTGAGACCCTGGGGTCGAGGTGACCCGGGTTGACACCCTGGGGTCGTGGTGACCCGGGTAAGATGGCTGAATGTCCTGGGGTCTTAGAGACCCGGACTGTGTAGCTGTGAGAGGGATATGCCAGTCCTGGGGTCCGATGACCCGGACGATCCCTATAGGTAAGCTGGTCCTGGGTCGTGCTGACCGGATGGTACCGAAATAGCGTAATGTTCTCAGGGGGCCATAAGTCTTCCATGCTCTGAGTATGGAGTGGTTTATGACGCCCAAACGAGGTTAACAAGCGAGAGCCCCCAAAGGTTGGAATGGTTCCAAAGGTGCAACGAAAGGGTGACATGAAAAGGCAAATAAGCTGGAAAAGGCAAATAAAATCCATGCGATCCTGATATTCATTACTCAAGCTGGTTACCGTCAATAAAATGTTTCATGGTTGAATAATTAAATTTTCGTTGTGTTCATGGAAATTCCTGCATTCTGATTAGCTGAATTGGTCACGTGTTATTGCATTCATTTCCCACTTGTATTACTGCGGAATGTCTGGGAATCCCAGTATTACAGTCGAGGGAATTCCCTTTCTGCTCACGTGTATTGTCATGCACAGGACATTTAGCGACTTTCATGCATATTCATTGTCCAAACTACCCTTTGAAACCGAAGGCCGAAATGAAACAGCAAACGAGCAGGCTCGCTCGCCTGTTTTTTTCCCGCTCGCCTCGGTTCAATTTTCATGTCTTCGGGTTTCATTTCTAACTAGCATTTCTCCAACTGTGTTTTACCGTAATCAGGGAAGTAATGTTTGAATCACGCAGTAATTGACCATGTTATTTGAAACAGCCGCCTTCTCTCGGACATATTTCTTCCGGTTCGTTACAGTCTGACTTTTGCAGTTCTTTTCGCCTCTTGCATTAATTGACAGGTCCAATTAATATTGTTTTAATCCCACTCTCCGTTGATTGGCTACTGACTGTGTAGGCGTGTCAAGTTATGTGCATAAATTAAACGATCACCTGATTCATGTCACGCCACTGTATGTATTCCTATACCTGGAATGTTTATCAATGTCGTCATTTTTGTCTGTTTTGATATATGCAACTGTTTTGGGTTAAACTATTGTAGATAAAACATATTTTACGTTGTCGAATTTAATTATAAGCATTGACTGTTATATTTTTTTCGGTTTCATTGAGGTATGATTCGAAAAACCAATGTGCAAACTTTTGTAAGAATCAATATTTTATATTTTATTTCGTTACATTTGTATAACAATGGACGTGATGTACGCAGATCTTATTGTCCTGACAATAATGTACGTTTAATTAATTTACAATCGGTTGTAGACGTAATGATATTAAGTGTTTGTTTGGTCGGATATTCACAATAGTTCTGTGGTAAGTGGTCCACCCGTAACTTGTTATAACCGGAGCAAACTAACAAAACATATCCACATACCCAGCATTACAAACACAACATAGTCTTCTGTCACGTAAAATGATTGTTTAAACTTAACACTAGCCTTAACAGCTGCATACATAGACTGTAGAGCTTTTATCATTTTGCCAGAAACACCTCCATTAACAAGTACTAACCCTTCTTTATCCGGTTTACACTGTCAATATATCACATATTAAAGATTAAAAAAATAACCACTTCAAATACTAAATCATTCAACTAAACACATATACAAATATTGAATTTGTTTTTACACTGTGAGCAGTGATGTGGATAAGAATAATGTGGATTGGTAGTTAGATTAACTGTTATATCACGTGAAATGTAAATACCGTTATCCATGGATGCATTGTCTTTGCCCTGAAATAAAGGGAATCAACACTTCAACTCTCAGTCGTCTCGTCTTCGCCGTTTTAATTAGTCCGCGTAATGCAAATTAGCGTCAAGCGACCCAACAAACTGGGCTGCAAAATACGATTCTTCTTACTGAAAAACAATATGTCTTTCTAGGCATTTTATTTCCAAGTAACAATCGATTTTGTAAAGACATTAAACGGTTCTAAAGCAATAAGGAAGAGAATTTGTGGATGTCAACTTCCTTATTTATCATCCACCTGATGAAGGAGTAAGCATATACTCCGAAACGTTGTGTTCCTCATAATAAAACACTTGACATCCATAAATTCTCTTCCTTATGTGTATCACTTCTAAATGCCTTTCAAAGACTTTTAGAGCAATGTTTGCTATTTTTGAAAAATATGAGTATTGGAAGTACCAATTGACTGTCAACTTAAACTGTTTGGCTATCTTGTTCAACCTATATTGGTTTATGGATCTGAAGTCTGGGGCTTCGAAAATAATGTTGTACTGGAACCTGGTCATTTAAGATATTGTAAATATATTCTGAAAGTTGAGCAAACTACCCCTGATTTCATGGTGTACGGGGAGTTATGGATATACCCATTAAACATCAATGTTAAGTTAAGATTGGTGTCATGTTGAAGTAAACTAGTTCTATCAGAAAGCAAATTATCAGGTATAATGTGCAAACGTATGTTGAAACTCCAAACTGCCCACTCAGAGTTTAAGTTCCTGCGTATTTCCAACGTATTTAACAAATTACAGGTCTAACTCACATTTGGCTGTCTCAGGAATTTCCCAGTGTACAATGGATAAAGGCTAACGTCAAAACTGTCCTTATAGATCAATTCTACAAAGTTGGAGAAATAAAGTGAATTCATCAAAAGGACATAATAGTTTGTATAAAGATATCCTCTCAACAGAAGACGATTTATTGTATTTACCTATATGAACGAGCCTGGTTCAAATATAGAAATAGGCCAATAGAGTGAGTGAGTATGGTTTTACGCTGCTTTTAGCAATATTCGAGCAATGTCACTGCGGGGACTGGCCAACATAAGAGGATCCATATGAGGTGAGGTGAAATGGCGCGTCCAAGATTATTGCATATAGCGATGTTCATGAGCGTGTGCGTGTTTGTCTGCCTGTACTAGTCCGGACTGATGCGGATTTATAGTGCTAGCACACTGAGATACCATGCCGCAGTTTACATGAATACCCCACTCAGACACAGTATACTGACCACGAGCCGACCACTTTATGCTGAGCGCCAGACAGGTAGCAAGAAGTACCATTTTTTAAACGTCTTTTGTGTGACGCGGAAGGGGATCGAACCCCGGAACTTCTGCTCTCCGGGCGGACGCTCCATAAGAACCAGCTTGGTACAATAATAGAAATTAGCCAATAGAAGATGATCCACATGAACTAGCCTGGGTCTATAATAGAAATTGGCCAGTTGGTGATCTATGTGAATAGCCTGGTTCTCTTATAGAAATTGGCCAATAGAAGATGATCTATATGAACTTGCCTGATTCTATAGAAATTGGCCAACAGGAGGGAACATGTATACAATCTTGACTCCACAGGTCAAGTGATGTTTTCATTGATCTTTTCTTTCAAATCACACAATCTTCAGTCACCAAGCAATATATTGAAGCCTGGCTGCCAGATCATTTTCAGATAATATTCCATGAAACTGGGTGTCCTTGTGAAATGCTTTATTTGATTTGTTTCTCTAAATGTGATTGGTATGAATTCCAATTCCCGACCTTGCCCGGATTATCATATGGTGACATTTTACAACAGATGTCACTCGCAAACCCAATGTCAATCACTGGGCAGCTGCAATGCAATTCAAATTGGAGCGTTCAACAGTTATTTCCCTTGATAGTACAACTTCCATTAGCCTGCATCTCCAGGGGTGTGTGTGGGGGTGCGTGCGTGAGAATCGTGCGATCCTCAACCTTTTGTGAGCAGTATATAAGAGTGAGTGAGTGAGTGAGTGAGTGAGTGAGTATGGTTTTACACCGCTTTTAGCAATATTCCAGCAATATCACCGCAGGGGACACCTAAAATGGGCTTCAGACATTGTACCCATGTCGAGAATCGAACCTGGGTCTTCGGGGTGGAGCAACAGTTTAACCACTATGCTACCCGACAGCCCCATAGTATATAAGAGGAAGGAGCACAGAGACTCTTTTAAATATTAGAAACTATAGACTTGCTTGTGAGTTTTCGGATAGTTTCATTTCATGGTCCATGTTACAGCACCAGTCTTACCTTGACATCAATCTGAAAGTGTGTACCTGCATTTTCCTGTTTGGCATTCAAGAACCTGTTTTAAAAGTTCCATTGGCATGTCCTACAAATCTTACACTGAGAGATATGAATGGCACATGATTGAAATAACAGTGCATATTTGTTTGTTGATTAGCACAGCACTCAGCAATGGTCCAGCTATATGAGGATGGTCTGGGCCACCTAATCCAGTGATTGACATCATGATAATAGCACATAATAACAATACTCAGATTGCCCAAGGTAGCGGTATAAAAAGAGTACACCTGGAGAAACACATTTTCATACACCTGTATATCTACAACAAATCCAATCAACACTGATGTGGGATTGCACCTCTTAACGTTTCTTGTTTCATAAAACAAATTCATCAAGACTCATTTCAAATCATTTATTCATAACATTTAATTAAAATGCAAACGGATTATCTGACAATGTACAAGAGCAGATTGTGAATTATGAGCATCTTCCTGAGGCAAGGGAGTTAACAGACTGTAAAAATCCAGTTTCCACCCTTGCTGAACTAGGCTGGAACTCCTGGGCTCCATCGTAGCGCCACCAGTGACCATTACGAGTTATGTCTCTTCTATTCACACCTATTGCCCAATCAGATTCCACCTCTCATATCACTTGCACTTGCTTCAAACAAAATAGCTGTGCCCAGTAAGGATGATCTGATCGATAAACAAGATCTATCTTCTAATAAAATGGTCGGGTAGCCCAGTGGTTAAAGCGTTCGCTCGTCATGTCTAAGGCCCGGGTTCAAATCCTGACATGGGTACAATGTGTGAAGCCCATTTCTGGTGTCCCCTGTGAGGGTATTGCTGGAAAAAGGTAACTCCATAATTCCAGCCTAGTCTGGCAAGGGTGGAAAATGGACTTTCATAGTGAGTTAGCTCCCTTGCCTTGGGAAGATGATAATGAGTGGGGGAACATATGACAAGGGAATGGTATAAATACAATTATGCTGGCATTGTCATCAATGGTGTCTCTTCATTTTTCTCTCCATCTTTTTCTGTTTCTTCTCATCAACTTCTGGAGGGGCCTCGAAAAACCAGGGTGACAAAATATTTACCCACAACATGTAGAATGCTCGTCCAGGAGCCTGGGACAGAAAAGGGAAACATGAAAGTACTGAACATGTAGCATGGTTAGAGATGGGGTGAATAACGTTGCTTTCAAGATTATTGAGCTTATATAGCAATGTGCATGCATGTGTGGCTGCTTGTACTAGTCCGGACAAAATGCCTATTTTATTGTGCTAGCCCACTGACATACCTTGCCGCAGTTTAACATTGACACCCCACTTAGACACAGTATACCAACTCCGAGCCGAACAGTCCTATTATCCCCTAAATGGCGAGTTCCAGACAGGGTAACAACAAGTACCATCTTTTAACGTCTTTCGGTAAGACACGGCCGGGTATCAAACGACTCTACCTTCCACTCTCTGGGTAGAGTGAGTTGGGATTAACGCCACTTTTAACAGTATTCCAGTTATATCACGGTGTGTCAGCTTAATGTGGGAGGAAAGTCCAAAGTGATGCAGGTCTCATACGTTTACCACTTCGGTGAAAACCACAAGCACAGGTATGGTGCTGACAAACCTAGAAACACAAGTATTTGTCACAAAGTGACGAAATGTCCCCCGCCTGTATATACACCATAGTACCAAATATGAAGACAATCCAGCGATTAGTTATTGAGACATCGCGGCAAAACCGTTTTCCAACTCCAAAAGCAGATTTGCCTGCTGTGACCTTGAAAATTGGGTCAAGGCCACCAAAACTGGTGGCTGCGGTGTCTGTATATACACCATAGTTCCAAATATGAAGACAATCCAGTGTTTAGTTCTTGAGATATCGCGGCAACAAACAGGTGGGACGTACGGACGTACAGACGTACGTACGGATGTGAATACTATATCCCCCGCTAAGCGCTTTCGCGCGGCGGGGGACAATAATCGAGGCGAACTGGGATTCAAACCCACAATCAGTTTCTTACATGCCCAAGGGGTGCAACTCTGCACAGCGAATCGTGGTGCCTTTAGACGACTGGGCCACCCGTGCCCCCTTTCTGGGTAGATGCTAGTGCAGTTAGAGATGAGGGGCAATAACCACCCCACACCATGGTTGTTGGAATCAATGATAATACCGTAATAATTGACTGATTTCTATCAGTGATGAATGTCCTCGTGATGTCATATTGAAAACAATTCGAGATTTTATTGAGGCACCTCTAGCATATTTTGAAAATTTGTGTTGAACAAAGATTTGAACACTTAAGTCAGCACTTACCAACAACCAAAAAATCCAGAAATAGTTTGATATAAGAGACAGTGTCTGTACTATAGCAGTGAGAATCAGCAGGTCCTTAGAATGCCTGAAACATAATTATAAGAATAGTTCTATAATAAGCAGACTGTATACATGGTATATAAACGAATGATTAGTTTTTACATGAACATATCTTTTTAAGCTTGGGAAGCAGAAAAAAGATAAATCTTGGTTTCTCTTAAGATTTGTTTGGATTGCTTATACTGAGTATGAAAGACTAGTGTCTGTAGGTACAAGTGAGTTGAAGCGGTACAGTGTGTAGGTACAAGTGAGTTGAAGCAATACTATGAGGCGAAGCAGTACAGTGTGTAGGTACAAGTGAGATGAAGCAGTACAGTGAGATGAAGCAGTACAGTGTGTAGGTACAAGTGATGAAGCAGTACATTGTGTGTAGGTACAAATGAGATGAAGCAGTACTATGAGACGAAGCAGTACAGTCTATGTAGGTACAAGTGAGATGAAGCAGTACAGTGAGATGAAGCAGTACAGTGTGTGTGTAGGCACAAGTGAGTTTAAGCAGTACAGTGTGTAGGTACAAGTGAGATGAAGCAGTACAGTGTATGTAGGTACAAGTGAGATGAAGCAGTACTATGAGATGAAGCAGGACAGTGTGTGAAAGTACAATTGAGATGAAGCAGTACAGTGTGTGTAAGTACAAGTGAGATGAAGCAGTACAGTGTATGTAGGTACAAGTGAGATGAAGCAGTACAGTGTGTATGTACAAGTGAGATGAAGCAGTACTATGAGATGAAGCAGGACAGTGTGTGAAAGTACAATTGAGATGAAGCAGTACAGTGTGTGTAAGTACAAGTGAGATGAAGCAGTACAGTGTGTGTAGGTACAAGTGAGATGAAGCAGTACAGTGTGTATGTACAAGTGAGATGAAGCAGTACTATGAGATGAAGCAGGACAGTGTGTGAAAGTACAATTGAGATGAAGCAGTACAGTGTGTGTAAGTACAAGTGAGATGAAGCAGTACAGTGTGTGTAGGTACAAGTGAGATGAAGCAGTACAGTGTGTATGTACAAGTGAGATGAAGCAGTACAGTGTGTGTAGGTACAAGTGAGATGAAGCAGTACAGTGTGTATGTACAAGTGAGATGAAGCAGTACTATGAGATGAAGCAGGACAGTGTGTGAAAGTACAATTGAGATGAAGCAGTACAGTGTGTGTAAGTACAAGTGAGATGAAGCAGTACAGTGTGTGTAGGTACAAGTGAGATGAAGCAGTACAGTGTGTATGTACAAGTGAGATGAAGCAGTACTATGAGATGAAGCAGTACAGTGTGTGAAAGTACAATTGAGATGAAGCAGTACAGTGTGTGTAAGTACAAGTGAGATGAAGCAGTACAGTGTGTAGGTACAAGTGAGATGAAGCAGTACAGTGTGTGTAGGTACAAGTGAGATGAAGCAGTACTATGAGATGAAGCAGTACAGTGTGTGAAAGTACAATTGAGATGAAGCAGTACAGTGTGTGAAAGTACAAGTGAGATGAAGCAGTACAGTGTGTGAAAGTACAAGTGAGATGAAGCAGTACAGTGTGTGAAAGTACAATTGAGATGAAGCAGTACAGTGTGTAGGTACAAGTGAGATGAAGCAGTACAGTGTGTAGGTACAAATGAGATGAAGCAGTACTGTGAGATGAAGCAGTACAGTGTGTGTAGGTACAAGTGAGATGAAGCAGTACTGTGAGATGAAGCAGTACAGTGTGTGTAGGTACAAGTGAGATGAAGCAGTACTGTGAGATGAAGCAGTACAGTGTGTGTAGGTACAAGTGAGATGAAGCAGTACAGTGTGTAGGTACAAATGAGATGAAGCAGTACAGTGTATGTAGGTACAAGTGATATGAAGCAGTACAGTGTGTGTAGGTACAAGTGAGATGAAGCAGTACAGTGTGTGTAGGTACAAGTGAGATGAAGCAGTACAGTGTGTAGGTACAAATGAGATGAAGCAGTACAGTGTGTGTATGTACAAGTGAGATGAAGCAGTACTGTGAGATGAAGCAGTACAGTGTGTGCAGGTACAAGTGAGACCAGCAGCTACATACTCTGCCATGCCGGATTCCATGTTGAGGTCCAGATTGCGGGAAGCTATTGACCCCATAAACTGGTAACTTGCAAAATGAATACCAAGTGCTAGTAAAAACATCACCTGTCAACAAAAAAAATACATCATCAAAGACTTCAAAGGAGAAGATTCACACATAAATATGTATGTTTTACTCATCAGCTTATAGCTATCAAAAGCTGTCAGTGGGCATGACATTTTCAACACAGTTGTCGAGATTTTGCTGGAGACGATTGTCATCAGGACATTTTCATGATTTAACTGTGACTTGCTGTGACTGTAGGGATGCTGCGAATGTAGCATGATGTCATTCAAAGTATTAGCAGGTCAAATAACAAAAACATGTTTTTAAATGTCAAATATGCCAAAAATTGTTACCCATTCATACATGAGTGAGTTGCGTTTTACGCCACTTTTAACAGTATTCCAGTTATATCACAGTTATATGTCAGCTTAATGATGGAGGAAGGGATGCAGGTCTCAGACGTTTACCACTTCACGAGCACAGGCATGGTGCTGACAAACCTAGAAACACAATCAGGGGTGCCTGGCGTGCCCAAGGGACACAACTCTGCACAGCGAATCACGGTGCCTTCATACATAGACATGCCCTGTATAACCAATCTTGTTTCATAATAACAAAACATTTGGCACGGAAAACCAACCCACCTACAACAATTTGACTGCACTTTTATACCACATTCACTCATTCACCCATTGTACAATCAGTGAAACAGTAGGAAATAGTATTGACAACATGGACAAGGGCTTTTACGATTCACCCTCGTATTCAGTGAATATAACCGTATCCATTCATGAATTGAATTCGTTATTCATGGCCACTAGAATCGAATATTTATGAATATGCAAGCATGTGCATTTATATAAAAATACCCATAAGAACATGTTATATGCATAGATTTCGTCAAAAGAAAACACTCTTATACTATTTAGTTTGACAGTATTGTGGTCACTGGTCATTGTCGCATATGATTTTGAGCAGATACTAGCACCTGGATTAGTGCAGTATATAAATGTATAATATATTAATAATTAACAAACTATGTCAAATAATTTATGTTGTTATTGCATTACTGAATATAACAAATAATAAATCAGCTGCCGACTTGCTATTGTATTCGAAAATTAATAATCGTATTGGTTACCCTATATTTGTGATACAAATCTGGCATGTCAGAGAAAACAGAACAATCACTTTGGTTGTCATCAACATAACAACTCAACATGCTCAATCTATATAACTGACATATTCATGTAATGGTTCTAAATAACAACGAATAACAGATAGCTGTCAAACAGTATTCCAGTTATATCACGGAGTGTTAGCTTAATGTGTGAAAACCCGAAGTGATGCAGGTCTTAGACGTTTACCACTTCGGTGAAACCCGCGAGCATGAGTATGATCCTGACAAAACTAGAAACATAATCAGGGTGAACCGGGATTCGACCCCACCATCATAGGTTTCTAGGTCAAATCAGAAGTATCTAGCATCTTCTTGGATGTGTAAATTATTATTACATAAATAAGCTTAAAATTATTAGAAAAACCTAACAACATCTAATCATAACATCATGAGTCTGCATCATGCTCATGACACCTTGAGAAATAATGTGTGAAATCATCAGTCATGTTTATTACTATAACTTACAATCGGTCCTGTTGTAAACTGGTCCCAGAAAAACAGAAACTGGACAAGTACATAAAAGACCTGAAAAAAACAAAACAATATTAAGCAATATTATGATGATGTATAGATACAAAAGATATATGTAGATTTAAAGCGGACATTTTTATAATTATGAAAATGGATTGTAAAATACCATTCAATGATGACATACCATGTATACACATACCGTACATGACTGAAGGTAAGCCAATTTTGAAGACCAGAAAAAAGATTATGTGGAAAGGGGTTGGCTTATGTATGGTTTGTTTGTTTGTTGTTTAACGCCGTACTCAGCAATATTCCAGCTATATGATGGTGGTCTGTAACTAATCGAGTCTGGACCAGACAATCCAGTGATTGACAACATGAGCATCGATCCATGCAATTCGGATCGATGACATGCACCAACCAAGCCAGCGAGCCTGATCACCCGATCCTGTTAGTCGTCTCTTACGACAAGCACATTCGCCTTTTACGGTAAACATGGGTTGCTGAAGACATGTTCTACCCCGGATCTGCTCACAGGCTGCATGGGTTAAACTTTCATCAAACTTATTTCTGAGGTGAGAACATGTTGGGGCCATTGCTAGTTTAACGGAATTCCCAAATGTGTTTATTGTGTCTCTAGTCATTCCTTTAAATGACAGAATGCAGGGTTTTACCTTGATTTACAAAAGTGGGGTTCTGGGGACCCCAGTATGTATTTTTATGGGTCCTTGCCAGGTGAGGTTAGGTGAAATGGAGTGTAATGTCACGTTCAAGATTATTGCACGTATATATATGTGTGAGTGTGGCTGCTTGTACTAGTCCGGACTGATGCCAATTTAAAGTGCTTGCCAACTGAGATACCACAGTTTTACATGAATACCCAACTCAGACACAGTATACTGACTCCAAGCCAACCAGTCCTTGTTTTAGCCCCTTAATGCCGAGCTCCAGGCTGGGAATTAACAAGAACCATCTTTTAACACTTTTCTGTATGACTCGGCCGGGGGTTGAACCCCGGATCTTCCGCTCTCCGGGCGGATGCTCTACCACAAAACCACGGATTCAGTCGGAAATATGAGAGTCAGTGCTCATGATTGATGGATGAAATAAAATCCATAACTGCTCTTGATGTGCTATAGGTACAATGAATATTAATGTGTGTCCCTTTAAACACAGTATATTTTTTTTCTGCGTCCATTCTCTACATTTGTGTGTACTGACAGAATGTTTCACCTTTACCATGTTTACTGTGTTAAATATCTAGTTTTCATGCAACAAATTACCTCACTTCCCATACACACTGTATTAGGGCTGGGGCAAGTCAAAATTTATGGGTAACCATCCCCCTATTACCTGACCCTACCCAGGTACCTGCTGTAGGTTTCAAGAGATAGGCACAAACTGTTCGTTGGGGAAAAGTGTGACGTTAGCCCTGGCAAAACATATTTACATACAAATATAAAACAATCTGGTGCATAGTCACATTAGTGACTTTTAGAGTAAACATAGAGTTTAAGATAACTTTTGTCATAAAACAATGTGTCATGTGACTAACCACGGGTCCGGGTAGTCCCTTTGGTACAAGGGTCCTACTCAGGACCCACTCGACCCGGGGACCCAAGTTAACCGTCCCTGTCCTACATGGTGTCATGTGATAGAGTGATGATCTTTACCATGAATCGTATGTATTAAATCATGTAGATACTATAATGGACTAGATTCAAGTTAACCTAAACATTTTACAAGGCATAATAATCAACAACACGAGGCATAATAATCAACAACAGAAGGCATAATAATCAACAACATAATACATGAATCAATCCATAAACAGCATTCTCTGGATAACAATAATAGAGGCATATGGAACACTTACATTTACACCTCCAATAATGATAAGATAAAACTTCAGTGATTGTTTATTTTCCTCATCAATTTGCTTCTGTCCTTTTGTCCCTTGTTTCCCTTTGGGCTGAAAAAAAAGAAAATATTTCATGGAATATGCGCTGAACAAGAAATGCACATTGATGTGAAAAACGGTTCTATTATCTAGACACATGCCATGTCTACTGTTGATGCTAAAAACCAAGTCATTGGTAACTTACAATGCAAAACAAATTTTGTTCAAGAACCATCCAAAATTGATGAGTAGTGCACTTTACCTATTTTTAATTATAGCTGTGTGGAGGCTTGTTGCCAACTGGAAGCTAAGCTAGGCCAATGAGTTAATCTCATTACCCAACACCCTACCACAGGACCCCAGGTGATATCACAAATAATTAGTTATCAGCACAGATATAGAGATAGAGACTACAACACTAACATTAAGGTACATTATGTGTATAAAATGCATTACTATGTATTTCAGATAGTTACATACTTATTCTAAAATACAAAAACCGACCATAGTTCGCTCAAAATCTTTTAGGCGAGTCGGGTCAAAATCTTTTTAGGCGAGTCAGATTTTAGGTGAGTTGGGTGTATCCCGCACCCACTTGTTAACCTTCATGTGCAAGCAGTGTGGCCATTTACTCAGCAGAACACAATAAAAATTGCATGGAGTTTCTTTAAATTGCATTTGAATATTTCGTTGAAAGAACTAAGCAGTACCCTACCATGCCTACCGCAAAGGATTGTAAAGGGGGTTTGGTCGGGAAAGGGTACCTTACCCTAATGATTGATGAAAAGGAGTGCTTGAGTCGAAGAGGGTCCAGGGGCTTAGGATAGAGTTGGGGGTAAACTACCCTAACCCCAACAAACTAACCCTAAGGATCGAGGAGGCACGCAAGATCTGTGAAGCGAGAACCACAGTCGGCAGCCTGGGCAAATTAGCACTACAGTAAACTGCATTGTTACCCAAAATGCGAGAATTGGTTACAACCCCGGTTAACTTGACAGCGGCTGGTAAACAACCTTCCCCCCTTTAACATGTTTAACATGATTAAACCATACATACTATGTCATATAAATCCAGCCATTCCCAGGTGTCTCTCGACCGACACAGCTATTATAAATACCTTTTTATGAATACAAATAATTGATCATACGCAAACGAAATGCCAATAGTAGCTTAAGATGTGGATCGACAAATAGATAGCACATTTCATCCCATAACATATTGTCCACGTCTTTGATCATTGCCAGATGTCACGCTCACTGAAGTGGCTCACTTTCATGGAAGTTTTTGCTTTAATGGTGGATTGCACTGTACCCCCTTACAAGAACACCATCACACAATATGGAACAAACGCCAATGACTGAATTACTACAAGTACATGACTTACCGGCATCTTGAAGCCAGTCAACAGACGTAGCGTGAAAAATAATTCCGGAAGTAATGTAGAGACCCCTATATCCGGATAGGAAAACAAGAAGGACAACTCCAGTCAAAGAAGCAGGCTCCTTCCCAGCGCGTGACACCTTCCTTACACTCTCGAACGGGCTCTCGCTGTGAGGAGCTTGTCAAAGAAGTTGTCCCATTCCATTCGTCATCACTCGCCTCTTTCCGTAAACTGCTATTAGGCTTGCCCCGGAATAACACGAGTTGGTCACGAATGGGAATGACACGAGTTGTCGCAACTATTGCTTGACTGGGTACCTGTCTACTTACACAGTGGAACGGGTGATCATTGCACGAAAGCTTCAGCGTAATTACAAGAATACGTTACAAACCGAGTCACATGTTTTTGTATTGATGCACTTAGACATGTTATTGACTTATCAATAAAACACTAATTGGTGTAATCTATTACTTTGATACACTGAAAACCTTTTTTTAATTCATCCATAACTTGTCGTCCTCGCTATATGGCTGAAACAGTCCCTGCGTGTATTTATCACTCACTCACTTACTCGTATTTATCACTCCTCGCTCGATTTTTAATAAAGGACAATATTCCCTGTGATGCAGACATTGCTAGAATGAATCCCCTTTTATCTTCTTTAGTGAGTGAGTGAGTGAGTGAGTATGGTTTTACGTCGCTTTTAGCAATATTCCAGCAATATCACGGCGGGGGACACCAGAAATGGGCTTCACACATTGTACCCATGTCGGGAATCGAACCGGGTCTTCGGCGTGTCGAGCGAACGCTTTAACCACTAGGCTTCCCGACCGCCCCTTATCTTCTTTAACTAGAGTGATTGAGTTTTAATTAATGCCGTCTAAAACCTTAACAAAGTTCATTGATGTATTCCTAAAACAAACTAATTGGTGTAGAAAGTGTATGATGTCCTATTTCCGTAGGGCGGTGATCGGCCATGTGGTTAAATCGTTCCCTCGTTACCCGGAGGCCGGGTTCGATTCCCAACATGAGTACAATGTGTGAAGCCCAGGTATGTAGACCCAAGACGTAAATTCCTCGAATCTTGCTGAAGATTTTGAAACCACACTCAGACACCTGTTTCTGTCAATATCTAACGAGACACCGATTCTGGATGGAACTGATCAAAACCATACAGTCTTAACTAAACCAACAAAAAGTACTAGATACAGTCATGTACAAGTTAAATAAACATAGTTCTTTAAAGTAAATCTCGACTATCATGATAAAGTTGAAAAGGGGATGACTGTGGTAGAGCTGAAAAGGGGATGACTGTGGTAGAGCTGAAAAGGGGATGACTGTGATAGAGCTGAAAAGGGGATGACTGTGGTAGAGCTGAAAAGGGAATGGCTGTGATAGAGCTGAAAAGGGAATGACTGTGATAGAGCTGAAAAGGGGATGACTGTGATAGAGCTGAAAAGGGGATGACTGTAATTGTGATAGAGCTGAAAAAGGGGATGACTGTGATAGAACTGAAAAGGGGATGACTGTGATAGAGCTGAAAAGGGGATGACTGTGATAGAGCTGAAAAGGGGATGACTGTGATAGAACTGAAAAGGGGATGACTGTGATAGAGCTGAAAAGGGGATGACTGTGATAGAACTGAAAAAGGGGATGACTGTGATAGAACTGAAAAGGGTATGAGTGTGATAGAGCTGAAAAGGGGATGACTGTGATAGAGCTGAAAAAGGGGATGACTGTGATAGAACTGAAAAGGGGATGACTGTGATAGAGCTGAAAAGGGGATGACTGTGATAGAGCTGAAAAGGGGATGACTGTGATAGAACTGAAAAGGGGATGACTGTGATAGAGCTGAAAAGGGCATGACTGTGATAGAACTGAAAAGGGGATGACTGTGATAGAGCTGAAAAAGGGGATGACTGTGATAGAACTGAAAAGGGGATGACTGTGATAGAGCTGAAAAGGGGATGACTGTGATAGAGCTGAAAAGGGGATGACTGTGATAGAACTGAAAAGGGGATGACTGTGATAGAGCTGAAAAGGGGATGACTGTGATAGAACTGAAAAGGGGATGACTGTGATAGAGCTGAAAAGGGGATGACTGTGATAGAGCTGAAAAGGGGATGACTGTGATAGAACTGAAAAGGGGATGACTGTGATAGAGCTGAAAAGGGGATGACTGTGATAGAACTGAAAAGGGGATGACTGTGATAGAACTGAAAAGGGGATGACTGTGATAGAACTGAAAAGGGGATGACTGTGATAGAGCTGAAAAGGGGATGACTGTGATAGAGCTGAAAAGGGGATGACTGTGATAGAACTGAAAAGGGGATGACTGTGATAGAGCTGAAAAGGGCATGACTGTGATAGAACTGAAAAGGGGATGACTGTGATAGAGCTGAAAAAGGGGATGACTGTGATAGAACTGAAAAGGGGATGACTGTGATAGAGCTGAAAAGGGGATGACTGTGATAGAGCTGAAAAGGGGATGACTGTGATAGAACTGAAAAGGGGATGACTGTGATAGAGCTGAAAAGGGGATGACTGTGATAGAGCTGAAAAGGGGATGACTGTGATAGAACTGAAAAGGGGATGACTGTGGTAGAGCTGAAAAGGGGATGACTGTGATAGAGCTGAAAAGGGGATGACTGTGTTAGAACTGAAAAGTGGATGACTGTGATTGTGATAGAGCTGAAAAGGGGATGACTGTGATAGAGCTGAAAAGGGGATGACTGTGATAGAGCTGAAAAGGGGATGACTGTGATAGAGCTGAAAAGGGGATGACTGTGATAGAGCTGAAAAGGGGATGACTGTGTTAGAACTGAAAAGTGGATGACTGTGATTGTGATAGAGCTGAAAAGGGGATGACTGTGATTGTGATAGAGCTGAAAAGGGGATGACTGTGATAGAACTGAAAAGGGGATGACTGTGATAGAGCTGAAAAGGGGATGACTGTGATAGAGCTGAAAAGGGTATGACTGTGATAGAACTGAAAAGTGGATGACTGTGATTGTGATAGAGCTGAAAAGTGGATGACTGTGATTGTGATAGAACTGAAAAGTGGATGACTGTGATTGTGATAGAGCTGAAAAGGGGATGACTGTGATTGTGATAGAGCTGAAAAGGGGATGACTGTGATTGTGATAGAGCTGAAAAGTGGATGACTGTGATTGTGATAGAACTGAAAAGTGGATGACTGTGATTGTGATAGAGCTGAAAAGGGGATGACTGTGATAGAGCTGAAAAGGGGATGACTGTGATTGTGATAGAGCTGAAAAGGGGATGACTGTGATTGTGATAGAGCTGAAAAGGGGATGACTGTGATAGAGCTGAAAAGGGGATGACTGTGATTGTGATAGAGCTGAAAAGGGGATGACTGTGATTGTGATAGAGCTGAAAAGGGTTGACTGTGATAGAGCTGAAAAGGGGATGACTGTGATAGAGCTGAAAAGGGGATGATTGTGATAGAGCCGAAAAGGGGATGACTGTGATAGAGCTGAAAAGGGTATGACTGTGATAGAACTGAAAAGTGGATGACTGTGATTGTGATAGAGCTGAAAAGGGGATGACTGTGATAGAGCTGAAAAGGGGATGACTGTGATTGTGATAGAGCTGAAAAGGGGATGACTGTGATTGTGATAGAGCTGAAAAGGGGATGACTGTGATAGAGCTGAAAAGGGGATGACTGTGATTGTGATAGAGCTGAAAAGGGGATGACTGTGATTGTGATAGAGCTGAAAAGGGTTGACTGTGATAGAGCTGAAAAGGGGATGACTGTGATAGAGCTGAAAAGGGGATGATTGTGATAGAGCCGAAAAGGGGATGACTGTGATAGAGCTGAAAAGGGTATGACTGTGATAGAGCTGAAAAGGGGATGATTGTGATAGAGCTGAAAAGGGGATGACTGTGATAGAGCTGAAAAGGGGATGACTGTGATTGTGATAGAGCTGAAAAGGGGTTGACTGTGATTGTGATAGAGCTGAAAAGGGGATGACTGTGATAGAGCTGAAAAGGGGATGACTGTGATAGAGCCGAAAAGGGCATGACTGTGATAGAGCTGAAAAAGGGGAGAGCTGAGAAGGGGAATGAGTATAGAACGGGTGTGTTTCACACTACAAAGATGCTCTAGGGTCTGTAAGAGAGACTGGATAGAGTGTCGCGTGTCGGAAACTACACGCGTGGCTATTCAGCCATATTCAAGCCACCTGTCGCTCCTCCAGAGAAGCCGAGGCACAAGGACGCAGAGCACGTGGGAACGGTGGAGGATATGTGTACGCTGTATGAGGTAAATAACTTTAATACTATAAGTTACTTTAATAACAGAAACGGTATTGCAAGCAACTTCTTAGCACCCTCAGACCATCGTCATCTGAACCCAAACTTCGTTTAAGTTTAAGCAAATACCCCCTTATCTACTACTACTACTACTACTACTACTACTGCTACTACTACTACTTCTTCACATATCAGTATATTTTGTGCGGACACAAGTGTATCAATTATTTTGCCTTTTATTCATCTCGTCACTACTTTTTTAAGTATAGGAACACATAATGTTCTACTTAATGTTATTGAACCAGTATATTTTTATGTTTGTATGCAACTATCCTTCTTCTTGGGCCAGTTTTCTCGACCAGTTCATGATATTTACATGACAGCATGATTTACCGCAATTATGTCCCTACAGTTATAAGAGATACACGCGTTTCACAGCTCTCATTTCACGTATTCTAAAACACGTTCATATCGGAAGGAAGAACGTGCTTACCGATGCATGGAGGATTGCGTCAGCTGGTCGGCGGGTCTCATTGACTGTCAGACATCAAGACAGGCTGTATTATGCGTTTCCATTGACCCGTGTCTCCGAAAAGATACATTACTTTACTATAAATACCCACATAATGTAGTAGATTTCTATGATCACTGATCACGGAGGCGATTATGATCAGTTACTGCGGAGTAGTTGATCGAAACGAACAGGAAGGTGGAGTGAGTGAGTATGGTTTTACGCCGCTTTTAGCAGCAATACTCCAGCAATATCACAACAGGGGACACCACAAATGGGCTTCACACAATGTATCCATGTGGGGACACGAACCCGGGCCTTCGGCACCACAAGCGAACGTTTAAACCTATAGGCTACCCTCCCGCCCCAATATGAAGGTTATAAAACAACATGACTTATTTTTCTTACGTACCAGCAATATCTTAATAACACTCATTATTCATGAGTGAGTATGGTTTTATGCCGCTTTTAGCAATATTAATATTCCATCAATATCACGTACGGCAGAACCCATGAAGATCCCGGGTAAAATAGGTCTTCAGCAACCCATGCTTGCCATAAAAGGCGACTATGCTTGTCGCAAGAGGCGACTAACGGGATCGGGTGGTCGGCTCGCTGACTTGGTTGATGCATGTCATCGTATCCCAACTGCGTGAATCGATGTTCATGATGTCAATCACTGGATTGTCTGTTCCAGACTCGATTATTTACAGACCGCCGTCATATAGCTTGAATATTGCTGAGTGCGGCGTTAAAAAATAAACAAACAAACAAAAGTGACCACCGTCATATAGCTGGAATATTGCTGTGTGCGGCGTTAAACAACAAACAAACAAACAAAGATGTGGGAAGAGACGGGGTAAGCATTTTTATCAAACCTGTAGATAGTAGATACTGAAATAGTCTGTCTCACAGTCCCTAAACCATATTATTTTCCCTTCCGCCCAGTCCTTACTGTTATGCTATAGTGGTAAATGAAGCAAGTCTAGATTTTCCACAAGTTCCGAATTTCCCATCTCACTGGGACGCATTTCAATATAAAGGGAGATGTTTGTTCCTATCTATATCTTCAAAGGCCGTCTCCAGAACAAACTCATTATGCCGCGTCAGACTGCCTGGCCCAGGTTGCTACCCTATAGATCACTTCCTATGTAATGGGGGACATTGTCCAACATGGTATGTGAGTGGGCACTCTGATTATGAAACTTGACATGAGTGAGTATGTTCCCTGTCAAGGTATGTATGTTAAGAGCACTATGCCTGTCTTGGATCTCGAGCAGTATATAGGCGGCGTAGTGGCCGAGTGGGTCTCTCGTCTCTCTCTGGTCAGGTCGAAGACTTAGAATCGATCTCTACATTGGTACAGTGTGTGAAACCCATTTTAGATGTCCTTACATATAATATTACTCGAATATTGCTTCTTAAAGCGCCGTAAAACAATACCCGGGAAACGTGTGTAATGTTTATGTTCAACTTAATTGTAATCAGAATGAAACGACGTCACTCTATTGTAATACGCAGTTGGCTGTAGCAAGAATGTCTGCCGTTGTAATATTGTAAGAAAAATGAGCCGTGAAACAGGAAATAGATATGAATAATAAAAAAGAAACGAAAACAGCGATATCACTACACACCCCAACCACCCCAACCCCAATGGGGCACATTAGAATTGTGTTTGTTCACACAGTAGTGGATATATACTATAAACAATCAAAAAGTCATAAAAAGCCTTAAAAAGAGACAGCCACTGAGGCCGCTTTATGTCATCAGATAAAATGATTAAATGTGAAATTAATACATACAAAATACATACATTTCTCTAGAAAATATAACTCGGTCTTGATAAGTATCTCTTACATAAGCGAACTTCTTTAGTTTCTGAGAAAACTTGTCCCCATTGCACACACTGTAAAATAACATGGATCAAGGGCCATAAACAAATAAACCAATAATTTATGGGACCAATTATCGAACCCAGTCTTGGCAATCATCTCTTAGATAGTCATGTAAACTTTCATTCGAGTACTTCAGTGGTTTGTGTGAAAACTTGTCCCAAATGCACACAGTATGCACTTAGCTGAAAACACGCAGCAAGGGCGATAACTCTCTAAAAATGTAATGAGGGGACACATTTTGAACTTATCAAGTATCTCTTACATAAGCTTGCAAAGTTAACAGTAGTTTCTGATAAAAGTTGTCCCCATTGCAGACAATGTGCACTAATTAAGTTGAAAAGAACGGAGTAAGGGCAATAACTCTGCAAAACAAAATAATGTACTGCCTAAATTTTCGAACTCAGCCTGTTACTTTGGATGCAAACATTCATTCATGTAACATCAGTAGTTTCTAGGAAAACCTTTCCCCGTTGAACACAGTATGCATTAAGTTGAGTGAGTGAGTGAGTTTGATTTTACGCCGCTTCTAGCAATATTCCAGCAATATCACGGCGGGGGACACCAGAAACGGGCTTCACACATTGTACCCATGTCGGGAATCGAACCTGGGTCTTCGGCGTGACGCGCGAACCACTAAGTTGAAAAGCATGGAGCAAGGGACATAACTCTGTAAAAATGACGTTATTTACGACACCAATTTTCGAACTCATTTAAGGTCGTGACCAGTATCATCTGTGTGTAAAATTCATTTCTCTGACTTAAATAGTTTTTGAGAAAATGTGTCCCCTTTGACAAGCGGACGGACGGACGGACGATATCCCCACCCCGCTTCGTGGCGGGGGATAATAACGAAAAAAGTATATATATAACCGTTAAATCATACACTAATCAAGTATAGGTAGGTGAAATATCAGCAGCCACAGCATACCTGTGTTCAAAGCCAATAAAAGCTATCTGATCAGCCATTGACTGAGAGAAGAATAGAAAGCAGGCATGCGAATGCGACACTGGGGAACAAGGTCATGTAGGTAAAAATTTCAAACCCCCCACAAGTTGCCTCCCTTTGTGTAAAAAAATAATTAAATCAGGGAAACATGAAATGACCATGTTTTATCGTGCGTGAAACAACTTTATTTAGCCGTTTTCGTCAACATTCGAGTTATCTCCCTTAGATGATTGACGTAGGCCATGAGAATTTAACAGAGCGTGGAATAACGTGCGTTATTCAAGTTGGAGGCATGCTTAAAGGTGAATTTTGTGAATGGTTTGTATTGTTGGGTCTGGGAGTTACTGGCGCACGTTGTACCCGTGTCTCTCTCAGCCGGCACAGATATAACGCTGATATGAACACACAGGGGGAATCCAAACAATGAAGAGGTATGTAAGGTAAGTAACCCACGTAATATTATTGTCGATCGTTATCGTGTATGGTAATATGAGTTCTAATCTTTATAAGGCCGTTACATGGCATTAACCAACATTAATGTTATGTTTTAGATTTGTAAACATCACACCTATGATGGCAACTACAATTAAAGGTGTTCCATGGCTTGGACAATCTGCAGCTTAACAGGTGTATGGTATTCAAAGCATGCTTCGTTGTTTGCCTAGGTTACTCATGTCAAGCCCAGGTGTCAGGTTTCAGCGTGGTAATAAATCTCCGGGATACATTCCCCGCTGCACACATTAGATTCGGTCCGGAGTAGATGAATGGAATAATTAAAACAAGTCGTCCAATGTGAGCAGTTGGATGTAGTTTTGACCCAAGTGCATGTTTGAATAATGGGTTAAAACCGCTGAACATCGAATGTGACACTGATGTTGGACGCATATAGCGTTCATTATAGCTGGTGTGGACAGGTAGGTCGTAGATTGTTCTCTCTCTCTCTCTCTCTCTCTCTCTCTCTCTCTCTCTCTCTCTCTCTCTCTCTCTCTCTCGTATGTATGTATGTATATTCCGTTCTTGATAATTATGATGAACATTCCCCAATCGGACTCCAGCGTCATGAATATCTGACTGATTTCTGTCATCTTCATGAAAAGCGTGTATGTAGTTTTTGTTTTGTTCTGTAGGTATTCTTTGAGAAGGAGCAAATTGGCAGAACTATATTCAGAGCCATTGTTGACTTGAAATACGTGAAAGGAATAATTTGAATTCTTTGTTGTGCATAAACTATTCTTTATGATCAAGTTAGAATAGTTCCTTTGCTCTGTAACGGCACGTGAAGGAGATAAGGCCTTGCTGAGACACACAACCAGTGATCTGTAACTGTGGATTCAGCGGTGGTTCATCTTACCGAAACCCGGACTCGAACATCGTAAAACCATGCTCACTCACCCTTACGGGTCTCGGGGCGGTCAGGTAGCCTAGTGGTTAAAGCGTTCGCTCGTCACTCCGAAGACCCGGGTTCGATTCCCGACATGGGTACAATGTGTGAAGCCCATTTCTGATGTCTCCCGCGGTGATAGTACTGGAATATTGCTAAAAGCATCGAAAACCATACCCACTCACTCACCCTTAAGGGTGTCTTGTATCCTACTCAAGAATCTGATTACGCTTTGGCTGAGAATATACAAAGGCGTAGTCCGCATTTTGTTCTGTATGTATCACAAGACTGTCAGTCTAGTTCAAGCGTGTCTATATTTAGTCTGCGTAGTGTGTGACTTGTGACGGGGCTGGAGAGGTTTATTTAGATTTATAACGGCATGACAGCGCGAATATCAATAACATGCACAATAAATCACCCAATTAGGTTTGAGTTCCTTGTGTACAAAAACGCATAACAGATTAAAAAACAACAATAGTGTAGCAACGCTGTGTAATTAACAAATTATCCATTTTAACTTCCTTACCTGTATTTCTTTACATGTATTATTCAGTTTTACTGATCGAGCGCGTGCAGGCATCACTCATACAACTCTACTGCGGTCAATAATGCATCATGTAAAGGGCTCTACATCTCGCTTATTGTTAATTAGACATGTGTATCGGTGTCGCGAGTTTGTGAATTTGGGGTAGCACACGAACAGATACAAATTATATCACACGAAACTGCATTTTAAGCAGAATCATTGTATAAAATGTCTACTCGTTGGTTGGTTTGTTGTTGTTTACGCCGCACTCAACAATATTCCAGCTATATGACGGCGGTCTGTAAGTAATCGAGTATGGACCAGACAATCCAATGATTGATATCATGAACATCGATCCACGCAATTGGGATACAGTTATATCACGGCGTGTCAGCTTAATGTGGGAGGAAAGCCTGAAGTGATGCAGGCCTTAGACGTTTACCACTTCGATGAAACCCACGTGCACGGGTATGGTTGTGACAAACCCAGAAACATAATCGGGGCGAACCGGGATTCGAAACCACAATCATAGGTTTCTGGCGTGCCCAAGGGACGCAACTCTGTAAATGTTGTGATCAGACCCTATCACATTTCTATATTCCAATTAACCGATTGGCATTCATGGCATACACATCACTAAAACCCCACCCACTCACCTCTACTCTACCCTATTCCCCTGCGTGCTAAAACAGGCTCCTGTTATATTGAAAGTCTGTTGAATCTCATCCAACTGGGACAAACTGTGGGAAGTTTTGTTTGTTTTTGTTTTTTTACGCCGCACTCAGCAATATTCCAGCTATATGACGGCGGTCTGTAAATAATCGAGTCTGGACCAGACAGTCCAGTGATTGACATCGTGAACATCGATCAAGCCAAGTCGGCGAGCCTGACCACCCGATCCCGTTAGTCGCCTCTTACGACAAGCATAGTCGCCTTTTACGGCAAGCATGGGTTGCTGGAGATCTATTCTACCCCGGATCTTCACGGGTCAAATGTGTGAAGTAAAGAACGGATGATATATATTCATTCCACTAATAAACATCACTGGTATATGATACACTGCCAGGTAATGGACGCATGAAAGAAGTGCAATATGTATTTTTTCATAAATCTTTTTAAACCCATCGTTCGTTTTGATATTTCCTTGTTACTTCCCTCAAAACAGTTGACGGGGCGGTCGGGTAGACCAGTGGTTAAAGCGTTCGCTCGTCACGCTGAAGACCCGGGTTCGAATCCCGACATGGGTACAATGTGTGAAGCCCATTTCTGGTGTCCCCCGCCGTGATATTGCTGGAATATTGCTAAAAGCGGCGTAAAACCAAACTCACTCACTCACTCAAAACAGTTGACACCTTTGACCCCTGAGACCTGACAGCGTGTCACCAGTAACACACCAGTAAGAGTGTATTTTACAAATTCACAAAGCGACGTGTTTTAAAGCGTAACGTTATGTGTTATGCATACCCTGGGGATATACATGTATTTCCCAAAATATAAACTTGAATTACGAGGAGGAATGGTGTTTATGACATGCCACATATCCACTCCTTGGATGTTTCAAAGATACTAGCCAGGTCTGTGTATTAATATTCATATACAAGATTTGCTATTTTAAGATACATCGGCGATCACATTAATCCATTCATCGATCTTGGCGACAGCTTTGAAATTTTCAATTTGTATTTCTGCACAAGGTAGAATGTGGTGTTCGCAGCTGTGAAGCTAAGTCATTGTGTCCAAGATCGATTGGGATTCGAAAGATTGGCTTTAATAGATTGTGTAGCTTAAATTCGCATGCTTGGATGATGATTTTTTAAGTTCCATTCTTCCTCTTCAGACTGTCGCCGTCCAGGAGTAGAACCCCACCGCCCCCCATGTACTGTGCGTGAGGTAAGTGTGCTTGTTGATACTTGAAAATGGCGTGTTTTGAGGCTATGCTGCTTGTACATGTATAGGTAGGATGCGAGACTTAAGATCAGAACTGCCTGATAAAACTGTATTGATGTTTTTTTGTCGATTCACGCTACATATTCTGTTATATGACGGCGGCCTGCATATAATCAGGTCTGGACCAGGCAAACCCGTGACTGATTTTTTAAGCTCATCCACGTCGTCGGGGTATGTTGGCACGCAATCAACCGAGTTACCGATCTGACCCCCCGATCCATCAAATCGCCGTATGGAGCATAGGTAGCTGTGGACCTATGCTAACCCGGAATTCCCACAACAAGGTTATTGTGTTGTGCTGATTTATAGTGTTGTGCTGATTGTATAGATGCCCTGCATGTTTTTTTTGGTTCTTTGTTTGTTTGTTGTTTAACGCCGCAATATTCCAGCTATATGACGGCTATCTGTAAATTATCGAGTCTGGACCAGACAATCCAGTGGTTGACATCATGAGCATCGATCCACTCAATTGGGATACAATGACATGCATCAACAAAGTCGTCGAGGATGACCACCCGATCCCTTTAGTCGCCTCTTACGGCTAGCATGGGGTATTCACGGGTCGCCCTGTATGTTTATATCTACTTATTTGGAAAAGAAGCCCCGCTTACCAGTCTAGTTTACGTGTTCCCTGGTGTATTTTGCCTTCAATCTTCCATACGTCCCCAATTGGACTAAACATGACCACATATTTAACCGTTGCGTGAGCACAGGACACGAGAATGTGGATTTACAGGTCTTCATAAGACGTTCAGCTCACTATTCACCTAACTAAACACCACACAGTACTATTTTTGATGAAAGCTTAAGATCTTTGCTTCTCAACGTCACAATATTCTTATTTGATAGATAAGCACATGGTCGGAGAAACTTTCTCCGCAACTTTATCAATCGTTATTAACACTACGACTGCTCAGCGATAGAGTGCAACATACAAATGTTGGGATGTTGAAGTTATATACCAACGGCCGACTCCACAAGGGTTAACGCCGCGAGATGTCAGTGATGTCACAGCTGACTGCGATGTGTGGTCAAGTCCGGAGACCGCAGACACTGAAACAAAGGGTGACCGCTGGTAACCCTAAACAACGTCAACATGTGCAGGATATCTATTGTAATACCCTCATACACTCAATCGATGCATGCTCTAGCTATCGACCACTGGTTCGTCTGCACAACAATGATACATTTCACAAGGCACCCAGTGTTAGGGCATTGCATATTTGCACACATGGATAGAATATTAGAAACCTATATGTCGAGCAACGCATCTGTCCTATGTGTACAAATAGGGAGTGAGTGAGTATATATATTACGCCACCTTTTGCAATATTCCAGCAATATCACGGCGGGGGACACCAGAAATAGGCTTCACACATTGTATCCATGTCGGGATTCGAACCCGGGTCTTCAGCGTGCCGAGCGAACGCTATAACCACTAGGCTACCCGACCGCGCCATGTGTAGACATAACTGTAAGATGTCAAACGAAGACATGTGTTATTTATTTTTTACTTCAATGTGAAGAAAGTTATTGTTTTATATTTTAACATATCTCCCATTATTCTACAACTATGGCACACACACACACATACACACACACACACACACACACACACACACACACACACACACACACACACACATGCCACCCAACTGCAACCTTTAAAATAGATCGATGTTTCATAATATTAGAGGGGCGGTCGGGTAGCCTTGTGGTTATAGCGTTCGCTCGCCACGCCGTAGACCCGGGTTCGATTCCCGACATGGGTACAATGTGTGAAGCCCATTTCTGGTGTTCCAAGCCGTGATGTTGCTGGAATATTGCTAAAAGCGGCATAAAACCATACTCATTCACTCACATAATATTAGATATTATACAGAGTAAAAGTATATCAAGTTATTAAAGCGATAAAATGTACAATATCCAGCCTGATAAAGGCTGAGGAGAAACGTCTTAAAACATAATAAAACCAAACATTGAGATGTATCAGAACAGTGAAAACATACATTTTTAGCATACCTAATGTTACTATAGTGATTAGGGAATACCCCCAGCACCAGTAAAGAAAGACTAGAGCATTTAGAAACTTAGTATATATTTGAGATATTTTAATATATACAGGGTAAGACAAACAACATTCAGATCAAATAAATGATTTACTTTTAAATAAGTGGGCCCGAAAACTGTATTTATTTCATCCACGTAACCATATCAAGTTGACAGTGGGTCCCGGGGCTAGCGGGAGTAGAGTTAGTCCAGCAAACAAACGTCTTTCTCTCAAGATGACGACACAATGAGTGGACCGGCTCCGTCTTTTGATGTGCTTGCTCCACAGGTTATGTGTGCTATTCTGGCTGCCCTATCGTTTACTACGGTAAATGGGTCAAGAGCTTCCCTTATATTGAATGTGGGACACGTTAGTAATATTTGAGGCACGGGTGGACCAGCGGTCCTGGTTAGAATCGATCTTCAGCACCTATGCCTGCCATAAGAGGCTAGGTGACTCGGTTGATGCATGTCATCGTATCCCATTTGCGTAGATCGATGCTTATGGTGTCAATCACTGAACTTTCTGGTCCATACTTGATTATTTACAGACCGCCGTCATATAGCTGGAACATTGCAGAGTGCGGCGGTAAACAACAAACATACAAACAAAACAAACAACCTTTGGCACTCTGAACTTACTGTGTATTCTTTTACAAGACTGAATTGTCAGTTATATGAAACATGCAAACTGCAATTTGGATTATTTTTAGTCACATTGCCATTGCCGATTTTTTTCGCGTAAAATCACACTCACCCACTCATTCCTGTGATAGCATGAGGTGAGGTGAAGTGAAATGGGGTTTAACGTCGCGTCCAAGATTATTGCACTAATAAAGCGACGTACATGCACGTGTGTTTGGCTGCTTGTACTAGTCCGGACTGATGCCGATTTATAGTGCTAGCTCACTGAGATACCATGCCGCAGTTTAACATGAATACCTCACTCAGACACAGTATACTGACTCCGAGCAGACCAGTCCTTGTTTTAGCCCCTTAATGCCGAGCGCCAGACAGGGTAACAACAAGTACCATATTTTAACGTCTTTTGGTATGACGCGTGATAACATGATGGAGATCGGAAGAGTACCCGGTAGACTAGCTCTCAGAGGATGGTAGCTCAAATATTCTCATGACGTCAGTGCATGAGCAAGGGCGTTAATAAATCAACACGGCAATTGCCTCTGTTTATGCGCGCTCAGCTGGTAAGGTAAGTGTTCACTACCGAGGAATGGAGTGGGCTGGCAATATCGTGTCCTGTCAACTGATTTAATGTCAGTGTAAAGGTATATGTCTGTGGACCCACATACATTGAACAACTGGTTAGCCCAATCATCCGCGATAAATCCAATATACGTACACGATGAAGGTCTAAATATAGTATACGTTTTATCTTTTGTATCAATGTCTTAATAATACTCCCCTTGCGATTCACTAGGGTTTATCACTACTTAAAGTGTTCAGACCTTTGGAGTTGACCTGGGTTTCAGTACCGCACCCGTACTTAAGATTGTGACATTTGGTCGTCAACATCAGTGGGTTGTGTCAATATTTAATGTGTCACTCGTCTTATGTGGCATATGTCGCACTGTTCCCTTACTTAGTGTGTAACTCTATATTTAGGTTTCTTACTTAGCGCAGGGGTTATGGAGTGGACGAGTGGTTGAAGCGTTCGCTCGTCACACCGAAGATCCGGGTTTGATTCCCCACAATGTGTGAAGCCCATTTCTGTTGTCCCGCCGTGATATTGCTGGAATATTGCTAAACTCGGCAGAAAACCATACCCATTCACTCACATAGAACTGTTACATTCAGACATTGCATGTTAGAGTAAAGATCCGAGGTAGAATACGTCTTCAGCAACCCATGCTGGTCGTAAGAGACGATTGACGGGATCGGTTGGCCAGGCTCGCTGACTTGGTTGATGCATATGATTGTATCCAAATTGTGTAGATCGATGCTCATGATGTCAATCACTGGAATGTCTGGCCCAGACTCGATTTTTTACAGACCGCCGGAATATATAGCTGGAATATTGCATTAAACAACAAACAAACAAAGCATGTTAGAGTAGGTCCCTAGTAACCTATGCTTGTTCAGAAGGTATTTAAAATCGGTATGTGGACAGGTCATTTGACTTGTTGATTGCGTATCCTGACAGTGTGGGTCGGTGCTCACAATGTTAACCACTGGTTTGTCTGCTCCAGTTATGTACAGGCCGCCGCCGGTTATATAGCTGATGGAATGATCATTGTTGCCTTAATTAACCAACATTTAATCACTCACTTTGTAGATTGCTAGTCACCATGCTCCGATCAAAGGCGCGGATCGGCGCTCGTGATTTCAGATCCAGGCTCCATTGTGTTATTTACAGACCGCAGTGATAAAGCTGCAATATTGATAACTGCGGCGTTAAACACTCTTCACGTACCCTTGAAGAAAGTGCACACATGGTTTAAAACCTGACCTCAGAGTGTCATGTCATTACTCATTTCAGGCCATAAAACAGGACTTCGTCGATTTCAAGATGGCGGTGTCCCGTGTGGTCCGCCAGCTGCGGTACTGCCACGACAACCCTGACGAGTACAAACTTTGTGACAATCAGATTTGTGTGCCAGTCGACCGAGAGTGCCGTAAGTATTGCTTCTGGTGTATGTAGAAGATGTAAATTAAAAGTTCAGTCACTCAAAATTTTGATGTTACAGCATCAGGTATGTCCTTGGGCCGTAGTACAAAGCGATCTCAGCCCTAATGTGTTCGTATACTTTAACATAGACTTACGACAGTCGTAGCGTAGTCTGTCATACAGACCGTGAAACAAATATATCCAATACAGCCCATGCAAGTCTATAATGTTTAGCAAGTCTAGATTACTGCAGTATCAGGAAATGAAGAAAATATCTGGGCTCCTTTTTATTATATTTTATAACGATGATTAAACAACTGTTTTTTTCTGTAAAATACGTTCATTTCAGAGACTAGATGTTAGTCTAGTCGTGGCGCTCAGGTTATTTTGTGCAACGGCACCCTGGGCCCACTAAAACAAAGCAGTATTAGTGATTAGACAATCGTAACACACACTGTAGTATAGACTGAAATAGCGCTGAGATTGCTTTGTGCAAGTGATCCCTGCTGATAAACCCGTTTTGGAAGAAGCACGATAAAGAAGGTTTAGTGTTCGGGAGTAAATGCTGATGGTTGCTGGTAGAGAAGAAGATAGTCAAAAGGTTTTCAGTAAGAGTAAGCGGTCAATGCAACGGAACAGTGCGTGTGTATTGAAAGTCCCTGCTTGGTGTGCGGGGGGTGGGCTGGTTCCTGCGGGGACAATATAATAATAGAGAGAAAGTCGGTGAGGAGTATTGTCCGCAGTCTTTAAGCGTTTCATCATCTGATGACCTATTCGACCTTGCATGTGAAGATTCCCAATTCGTCTAAGGCGCTGCAATTCGTGTGCAGACTGAGTAACGCCCCTTAGGTGTGTCAAAATCCTATAATCGTGGATTCGAATCCAACATTCGCCCTTATTATGTTTCTAGGTTTGTCACCATACTCATGTTCGTGGGATTCAGTAGTAGGGGTAAGCTGCGTTTGAAGACAGTCGGCCCCATGTTAAACTAACGGCAAAAACCGAGCCTCTTTAGCGAGCCTCCCAAAGGGATGCTCGGGAAAATCCCATGACGTCACTCAACAGGGAAACACCTCTCTCTCTGATCTAGGTCACCCCTCGGGCTGCAGCCGAGCGAATATGTATTTCTACAAGCGTGACAAACATCTCATCTAAATATAAACGACAAGAGTATGCGACTTCTATGTACAATTTATTATCCCCAGTACATTCAGGTCTGATAGAGTCGGGGACCTATCTCACACAGACCTTTACAATACTAAACTATTTTAACATAAGATGGACATATATTATAGAGTATTTACATTATCTACATCACTAGCTCTAACCCACGAATTGAATTTCTTAGGCCAATGAAGCCATTTGACAAAATATTGTTTATTGACACCCTTGCCACGGGTCTTCAAGATGGTCTCCATCTTCCACATATCATCGGCTCGAACATCTACTTTCTGTAGTTCAGACTGACAGAAGGTTCCCTGAATATCATCTCCATTGTAGTCCTTGAGATGATAAATGGGCAGCCCCCCCTCGTAATATCCTACGAGAGATGGTGAATATTTCTCCAGTCCAACGTTCATCATATTCCCTGCTGAATATATTCCTCAGGTGAGATATTCTAACTTGATCTCCCAGCTTGAAACGAAATACTTTTTGGCTTGTCTTCCTGTTGTTCTTTGTCTGCTTGGGCGAGTACATTTTCCACCAGATGTTAGTTTCTTGGTTTTCAGTCACCTTGGAAGGAGGCATACCTATTGTTCTATGATAGGTATGGTTATAGCTGTCGGCAAAGGACTGTAGCTTGTCCACATAGACGTAGGACTGTTTATAGGTGAAATATCTGTAGAGTTTGGTTTTGATGGTCTTCAGAACACGTTCAGCTACAGCAGCCTTGGTTTCATTATTGGTCAACAAATGTTGAATGTGTCTGCTTTTTAAAAGCTGCTGAACTTGTCTGGCACGAAACTCTTGACCTCGATCAGTACGTATTCTTGTGGGTTGTCTCCCTTCTTTGAATATATCTTCTAGAGCTTCAGCAACAGTCTGACCTTTCTTATCTTTGAGTGGACTCAGCCAGAGATACTTGGAGAACACATCAATCACTACGAGGATGTAGGAGACTCCCCGATTGTACTTGTTAAATTTTACCATGTCCATTAAATCAGCTGACCACTGATCATCAATGCCAGTGACAACAATCCTGTTCCTAGCAAACGATGTTCTCACAGGCTGTTGAAGGCTGTAAGCTTCTTGTCTTTGTAGCCATTTACGTATTTTGTATTTGCTGAGAACAAACTTGCCAGTTTTCTTCACATATCTGTATAGTTTATCTGGTCCAGCCAAACTGGCAGGGCTTTGTGGATTGTAGTAGATATCTTTAAGATAAAGTTCCCAGGAGACCATGATGCTCACAACAACATTGCTGAAATGATTGATAGAACCTAATGTCGCCGTATATATACACCTCTGGCTTCTTCATCTTCACTGTCAGATTTCTCTTCAAACTCAAGATCTTCAGCTTCAGACAAGTCCACATGTGACAGGATGTCTTTAACTTTGGGTTTCATCCACTGACTGATTTTTACATCCATTTCTTCTTGATCTGTGTCAGGGTCTAGGGCTCTCACTTTCTCCAGGATAGGTTTGAAGAGAGGCCCATTTCCAAAATAGCTGACATAACGTATAACCCTTACAAGTCTTTCTAGAAAAGTGGCTTCCCAGCATTTCTTTAACTTGTTTTCAATCCATCTCTCACTCTTCCCCTGATCTTCATAATCTTCTTTCTTCTTCCAGATATCTTCCTTACATACTTTAAGCGTTTGTTCCCATATGTTTTCAAGACCTTTCACTTCTCTGCCTTTATAGACATCTGTGGTTGCCCTTGTAGAACTAAGTATATCTCGATCTTCATGATCCATAGAATCTATTTTAGGTCGTTTTCTCAAGGGTTGCCCCTCATTCTCAGGACACCATGTCTTGACATGACGCTGGAGGTCATGTACAGCTTGAAAGACGAGACCACAATCATCACAAGCAGGCATGTCTGAGAGCTCTTTCTCACACGTCTGTTCACTTTGAAGGTCTGGCTCCATATGAACATCCCAATGCTCACTCTCTCTATTTATTAGAGATCCAGCAAGGGCATTTGGACACAATCGCTCAGAGCTTGATGTGAAAGGTTTCAAATCGATGAGTAAGTGTCCAAAGGGCTTTGCTGTAGCTTCATCATACTTTCTCATCAGTGTATGTGCCTGGCCTGGATACATCTGTCTTGCCAGAGTCATCACTTGCTGCTTGTCCACCGGATTGTTGAACAGTACCAAATAGTGACAGTTTCTTCTCTGGGTAGGATCTTTGCTATAGTACAAATTCTGATTGATAGCAATGACAGACAAATTTCTATGATGGCTTCCTTCACTAAATAAGTAAGTGACCCTGGAATCTTTGGTGGCTGTTGACATAAAGTCATCCAACACAATCAGGTTTCTAACTTTTGGGTTCAGAAAAGCATCCTGTTCCAAGTTAGCAGGAATTCCTTGTATAAATTCCACTCGTGGGTACACAGTAGTTTTAATTTCGTCATACAGAGGTTGCCAGCGTCGATAGAGCCAAAGGATACGTTGTGGGGTAGGTTGTGTGTTCATATTGTTTAGCAGCTGTTTCACAAGGTAAGTTTTCCCACATGAGGTAGGACCTGACACAATCATCGTAAATGGGTGCTGGAGAAGCTTTGTTCGAGCCGGAGTGGGAGCCCATGGAGCAGGAACAGGAGCCGGAGCCAGTGGAGCAGGAGTCAACAGAGCAGGAGCAGGAGCAGGAGCCAGCAGAGCAGGATTAGGAGCCATAAGAGCAGGAGCAGGAGCCAGCAGAGCAGGAGTAGGAGCCAACAGAGCAGGAGCAGGGGTAGAAGACCCGTGGATTTCTTCATAATGGCGTCTCATATTAGATGGTTTTGAAAATTTCCTCAAACAGAGTGGACATGTGGTAGACAGTTGTAAGGCCATGTTGCCTCTTCGGTGTTCAGGGCTTAAATGATGACATTCCAATGGCCTGAGACTATTTATAAGGAAATACGCCAATGTCCATAAGCTAGACTGGCAACTCCACCCTCCAACAGGTATCGTTTGTCATCAAAGGGACTCAGTCCACGTTTGTTGAGCTGAATATTATATAGCTCATGTCCAAAGCTCCTGATCTGGGTCATGGTTGACATGTGAGCCTCTCTCTCAAACAAGCATTGTTTGTAATGCGCATGCTTGGTGTGATGCTTAATCACAGACTTTTTTACTCCCTTGGCTGTTTTCTTTTCAACCAGCGACTGCTCCTTTTCATAGACAAGAGAATACATTTTGGATTTGAGACCCACAAATTCTTGGATGGGGAGACCATGGGTCTCATCTTTCATTTTGCCTAAGACCTTCTTGTTCTTGGTGCTATAGAGTGGATGGTCATTGTGATACTCTGAGGTATCGAATAGATCCCGGTCCTCCAACATATCTGCATACACATCGTCTGTCTGGATGCTATAACACAGAGAGTCTGTGTCTGTGAATAGCAGCTGAGCTCTAGCACCATACTTGAGCTTGATATAGTTGTAGTGGAAGTCATACATGAGAATTTTGGAGATGTCAAGAATACTTAAGCCCACGTAGATGGGTCGGTTGAGATAGAGTTTCTGTTTCTTCAGATGAACAGCAACCAGATTTTCATTGAAGATCCTGAACGCTTGAAAACTGGGTTTGGCTATCAGCTTCTGAGCTCGCTTGGGTCCTTGCACTAGTTTCACGTCCACTCTCTTCCTAAGATTCTCCATGGTCTTGCCGAAGACGGCATTGTTCATCAGTTTCCAAAAATCTTTCTCGAAGTCATTCTTAGCCTGTTTTCTGCGTTCAGTATTGAACTCTATGTAAGCCTTTAACCAGCCCTGCTGTTGGAACTTTAGAACTCGATGAACTTTGCTTAATCTCATTCCCAAAGACAGATAAAACATTAGATTTCTATAGTGAA